CATTCTTTTTCTAAACAGTTAGAGAGAATAAAATCAAACGCAATTCTTTCCTTATATTCTTTTTATTACGAAATTTCCCACAAACAATGTGTTATTTGGAGAATCAAAGATTCACTCTATTTTGAGGTTGTATCGAATTAATATGATGGTGTATTGCATGGATGTGTCATGTATATTCTGGCTGTATGTTGCTCGAATTTTTTTTTTTTTGGGGTGTGAACTGTGCTAAATGAAAATATTCCAAGTGTAACTGAATGTGATTAGTGATAAGAATGAGGCTTTTAAAGATTTTGAGATACAAATGCATTCAACTTGCATAAAGTTTTGGATAGAAGTAATGAGTAATAATGTTAACTTGCTCTCAAAACATTAAGAATGCATGTGATTTCAGTAAAGGGAATTATGTGTTGTAGTTTATAAATAATCAACAAATATATATACAGGTTGGATTAGTTTAATTCTCAACGAAATGTCTATATAATTTGTATGATAATGTTTAAAATATGAACTTATCCTTTTATCTTTTCTTTTAAGTACTCTACAGTCTGATTACCAATAGTTTAAAGCAAAATCAAACATAATCATGTTCATAAATCCTCTTCCAATTTTCTCGCTTTTCTCAAAAAATAAACAAAGGTGTTTTCGTAGAAGGTGTTTTCACAGGGGAGAACCAGAGGAAAATAAACTTTTCATTCCATTCTAATTTTCTCGCTTTTCTCAAAAAAATAAACACGCTTTTCTCAAAAAATAAACAAAGGTGTTTTCATAGGGGAGAACTAGAGAAAAATAAACTTTTCATTCCATTCTCCTGTTAACCAAACGAAAATTTTGAAAGGTTACGGGCTGTGTACAGTAGAGAAAAAGTGGTGTGATCCCTCCAGAATGAGAAATTCTTTGTTGCTCAACGAGCACCATGTGACTGTTTTCGTCAAAAGTTAGTTTTGCTGTAGAATTCATTATATCTTCGGTCGATTATAATAAATTCAAAAAAAATAGTCTTTTTATAAGACCTCTTTTACACAACAAAAGGAAAATTATAACTTTTTAGAAACAAACGCAGGATCGTTGTTTGGATCGCTGCTTGCGTGGGATCTTTGCCTGTGCCGGGGGTGCGTTTGCCCATGGACCACTGATTCACAGATTCTGATTGAATCGTGAAGGTTTTGAGAATTCTTCCTTCGTTTATCGAAGTAAGAATTTAAAGCGAATATCTTATCGATGTAAGATGTTCACTCTTCTAAAGATCAAGTCAAAGCTTAGATCTCTAGGAATCACCAAAAGCTTCTTGAGGATGTTTGTGAAGAAGGAAGACTCTCTCTCTCTCTCTTGCTCCAATTCACCAAAAGCTCCAGGCTCTATACTCCAATCTGCTCTGGATTGCTCCATCAAATGCTCGATCGGATGCTCTCTAATCAGCCCCCTTGGATGCTCTCTAATCAGCCCCCCTTTTGTAACCATCGTCCCACTACCTAAATACCATCCTTTTATGATGTTAGTGGGTCTCCTTTCAGTTTGTAACCATCTTCCCACGTTTATGGTTGATCTCAAGTAGTTATGAAGCCAAAAAACCGTCAAAAAACGTGTTGTAACCAACTCTATGACCGAGACAGTGAAGTCTGTCGCGCACCTCCGAGACTGTTCGCGCTATCTCGGGTATTTTGGCTCTAACTTCCTCGTCCAATAATGGAATGAGATAATCCAAGATGCGTTGGAAAGATGACGAAGATATATACAACTTTTGTCTTTTGAGTTTCTTCATATTTGGATCATATCATGACTTAAATGTGCAATACATTTCCACGGCAGTCTCTACTGACGCGCACCTCCGAGACAGTTCGCGCTGTCTCGGGTATTTTGGCTCTAACTTCCTCGTCCGATGTCGAAATGAGGTGATCCAAGATGTGTTGGAAATCTGACGAAAAAAACTACAACTTTTGTCTTTTAAGATTCTTCAGATTTGGATCATATCATAGCTTAAATATGCAATACATTTCCGCGGCAGTCGCTGCTACCGCGCACCTCCGAGACCGTTCGCGCTGTCTCGTGTATTTTGCCTCTAACTTCCTCGTCCGATGTTGGAATGAGGTGATCCAAGATGCGTTAAAAATCTATCGAAGAGATCTAAAACTTTCCATAGGCACATTACTCTGTTTGTGAGCACAATACCTTTCATTTCCGTGCCTATGCGCGTCAGTGTTCCCTATCGCGGGTGTTCATATTGTTCTTCTATGTTATTTCACATGTTCCTTTGCTTCTTTTGAGTTTGGATGATCTTCTTTGACTTAGATAGGTATATTCATACCTATAGGCATTTTTAGACGCCTACAGATACCCCCTCCAAAGTATCTCAGACTTATTCTTTTATAAATGAGTCTGGGACACTTTGGATAAGATGAGTCTTACTTGCAATCCCTTCAGTACTTAGTTGAGGAGATCGTGTAGAAGAACCTATGAACGGCTTCAACTCTTGACTTCTTCATCTTTTAGTCTACTCAGTGCTTTGTAGAATAGCTAAAACTCTTCCGGTGCTGCGTTTATCGCTTGACCATTGTCGAAATCTTGAACTGAAACTGATGTTTTGATTTGTGAATTAGCTCTTGTCGTTGAACTGATGTTGAACTGATTGTCTTCATTAGGAATTCATATCTGGATCGCAATTGAATCCCCTGAGATCATCCATTGGACTTTTTTTAGCCTTATTTTGGCAAAAATCATTGACGCGTTGACAGGCGTTAACACAGTTTATCATCGTGTGTTTACTGGAGTCTACACAGTTTAAGCTCTTAAGTTGTTGGAGCATAGCGGTCCTGAGTGTCGATGCTGCAGGACCAATTGTTCAGGTCGGTTCATCTGTAGGTATGAACTTTATCCTGAGTTTGTCGTATACTCAAGTCACGAGACCAACTAATAAAGCTGGTGCGTCAGTGATTATCGTATTTATAGGATTTTTGGCAAACCCTCAGCCATCAACGGGTTTGATGAGCCTTTACCGACTACCGTTTGAATCGGGCTAGCATGCAGATTGTTTAAGTTCGTTCTGTATGTAACGTTATGCTAAAAGAATAAACTCTCTTAGACTTGGTGCTATGATGTTGAATACATAGGTTTTGTCGTTAATACGGAAACGTACCATCCGGCGACGTGTGATAGACGTAAATTTATCTCTAATAAGGGATTGGGATAACGTCCCCCACGTATAAAATATGGATTTGAACATGTTGATGGGTTACGTCTTTTTGGTAAAAAGATGAACCCGATACTGGAGAGGAAGAATTTTATATTCTATCTCCTGGTCTCTTGTTTGTTGGTAGAGATAGACCCAAAATTAGAGAGAAAAATTTTTATATTCTATCTCCTGGTCTCTTGTTTGTTGGTAGAGATAAACCCAAAATCGGAGAGGAGAAATTTTATATTCTATCTCCTATTGCAAAAGAAACTCAAAGTGGGGTCTCCACTTGGAGAATCTGGACTGGTTTGAATAATCCTAACTGTCATAAGGTTTGATTATTCAATTCAAAAGCTGATCTTTCGTTCACAAAATGAATCGAAAGGAGATTTTGGTTGTGGTCCTAACTGTAGTAAGGTTTGACCAAGTGGGAGTTTTGAGACGATCCTAACTGTAGGAAGGTTTGATCGCTCGATTTGTGGACTTCTCGTTCCTTGGAGGAATCGAGAGAGAATTTTGGTTTTGGTCTTAATTATAGGAAAGTTTGACCAAGTGAGAGTTTTGAGACGATCCTAACTGTAGGAAGGTTTGACCGCTCGATTTGTGGACTTCTCGTTCCTTGGAAGAATCGAGAGAGAATTTTAACTTTGGTCCTAACTGTTTAAAGGTTTGATCAAATGGGGACTCGAGACGATCCTAACTGTTTAAATATTTGATCGTTCAATTTATGGACCTCTCGTTCATGAAAGGAATCGAGAGGGGATTTTGGCTTTGGTCCTAACTATTTAAAGGTTTGACCAAATGAGAACTT